GATGCCCAAGCCCTCCAGCCACCCAGCCAGCTGGGGACGGTGTCTGGTGTCATCCTTGATGGGACAGCAGTCTACCTTGTGCAGGGCAGGCTGCACTCAAGGACCCACCATCGTGCTCACACTGCTGGGACCTGCCCTCCGGGGTTTCGGTGTAGCCACAGCCATCGGGTGGTAGCAATGCTGAAGGGACAATGCTTAAGGACCTTTAAACCTGTCCCCATCCATCCTGGGCGTGGGTGGATGCTCTGCCAGAAACCTTTTTTCCACCAAACAGCTGAGTTATGGGGTTGAGATGGGAAACTCCCTCTGCCCTAGGGCTGCCACCTCTCCGAGCCCAGCAGAACCTCAGGGATTATAAGACACCCTTGGGTGCACATCCCCAGGTCAAACGCAGCAGCTACTTGCCGAAACTCAGATTTCCTCTGAAGATTTTAACTCCTGCATTGCTCTTCACCCTCCCCACTGTCACTTTAATATTGCTACTCTATTTCTTCCAGCTCTCCAAGATGCCACTGGCAGAGAAGAGGCTGTGGAAGGTAAAACTGCTCAATGTGAGCCGCTGTCCATCTGGGAAGCAGCCAGGATGAGCATTTCCACACTCTGAAATCTTTTTTAACACCAGGGGAGGAGAAAAACACCATTTTAAATGCATCTCTTCAGGGACACCCTGGCATTTCTGATGCCTGGATGTAGCATCTGCGGGGGCTGCGAGAAGCTGATCCTGTAAATCTCCCTGTGTGCCGAGGAGGGGACAGACCCTGATCTAGGTCAAGCCCAAGTGAGATAAGACACCTCTGCCCTGTGGTTTAATGCTGTTTGCAGGATGCTCGGTTGCTCCTGGACCACACTGATTTTACGGCAAGGGAGTCTGATGCTGTATCAAGCTACAACAGATTGATGTGTTTGTTTTGGCAGCCGTGCACATCTCCGAGTTAGGAAAAGCCTGCATTAATCCTGGGGATGGCTTTTCATATTAAACCACAGCCACTGAGCGAAAAGAGCCCTGGCTGCCCATATCTTCCGATCACTTTAGTGGAAGGGCTGTTAATGGAGATACCTGGCTAACAGCATAAGCTCTGGATGCATCCAGAGGGAGAAATAAGGATCAGGGAACTTAATGAGAAAATTTGTTGCTGAACCAACCCCCATCAAAGCCCACGGATTTATATTAGTGAGGAATTTGTTTGCATATGATGGTAGCGAAATTTCCCCCCAATCCCACGAAGGAGGTGCTGGTCTGAGAGTTTTCTGTAGAGAGAGGGATCCTGCTCAGCACCAGCTGATTTCTGCAAGATGATTTTCCAGTTTTTGCAGAGGAACAGATGGGCCAAAAGTCAGGAATTTGTGGGACCAAGTTCACCTAAAGCCTCTGGATTATAGCAAGCAGCGGTCCTCTGTCTTCACTGCTTTTTCCAAATTGGAGACATCCCTTTTGCATAGGCAAATCAGGCAGCTGGTGACTTTCTACCTAATTCTCTCCACAGTGTGCATATTTGCAGATCAGGCTCAGAATTTTAGGGGGGCCCTGATGCCAATTCCCCAAGCCTTTAAGGAAATCAGCCCTGGATGATTGGGTCACTTCGTTGCATATATCTCAAAAAGGCAGAACGTGATTTCCAGCTGACAGGTAAAATATGCTGCTTGAGGCCATTCTCCCCTTGCATTTCCAGGACATCCCCTTTTCCAATTTAAACATGAGCAGGCAGGGGAAGATGCCCAGCCACAACACGACCATGGGTTTGGTTTCGCAGCCACCCTTGCTCTGACTTCTGTGAGGCTGCAAAAACCCTGGGCAGAGAGGAGAGGATGGCCCTAATGCAGTGTCTGGGGTGAACATTTTGGCTGTTTGTTATCCATAGGTGGCAGCAGCTGCCTGTGCTGGGCAGATACTGTCCGAATCCCAAACCTGGCACTGAGTAATACAGCTGGGCAAAGGCAGCCCAGAAGGAATAGGAAGGCAAAGCCTGAGCACAAGTCGTGCCTGCTCCCTTCTCAACAGAGGGAGAATTAAGCAAAACCCTCAGTGGTGCAGGATCAGGCCCTGTAGCACTACAGAGAGCTCAAGTCTGCATGACTGCTGTGCCGGGAGTGAGCGCTGCCTTCTTACCCGGGAGGAAAATATCTGCGTGCTAGGGCGCAAAGCGGTGGGCAAGAGGCTGCTGCATGATTTTCTCACCATTGACCAAATTTCTGAAGCCACTGGGATGTCACAACCCCAGAGGGAATCCGGCGGCAGCAGCATTAAACCTCATCGGCTGGGCATTGGGGTGCCCCATCGTCCCCAGCGCTAGCGAACACCCATCTGTGATGTCCCATGAGTGCTGGCAGAGTCCAGAGGCAGCAGCTCCTTCAGCTCCGCAGCCTTTGCTGGCTTCCAGATGTTTCTGCCCAGTACAAAACATGGCACGAAAGGCTATTTCCCAACGGCACACACAACCAGCAGGTAACGAAAGCCAGTTGCCAGCTGTAACATGGAGCCCAGGGAGCCAGATTGGGGGGGAAAAAAAAAAAAGGAAAACACAGAAACCTTGCTCAAAAGCAAGTGTAAGGAGAGTTGCAGTCAACTCAGAGGCTCTAATTAGAGGAAAATCGAAGAGAAAAATCTGTCCAAATCTTGTCATCTGCTTGCTTTTAAAACTGCTGATTCTTGATCAATACAAATGAAATGTATCTTCCTCTCCTCAACACACCCAGGACAGGCTTTGTCGTGGGAAACCAGACTGGATGCTCCATCAATCCCCCTGGCTGCGCTGTCCCACCGGCGCTGCTCCCGCTGCATCATTAAGGCGAAGCGGATTTGGCTTTGGGACGAAGAGCAGGGCAAGACAGGTTTTGCTGGAGACCGTCATTCATCCACGCGGGGAGATCGATCTCCCTTGAACCAGAGAAGCCCCGATTCATCCCCCATTGCTATGGGTGCAGCATCGTGGCCCCGGTGCTATCTGCTTAATGAGCTGATCCTTTAAAAAGCAGCCCCAAATGTGGGTGTAAGTGGTGTCACTGCACAAAGGGACTAGGAAGTGTTTGTTCATCTCTGCTCTATCATTAATTAAAGCAATTAGCCCACTCAGGCTCAGTGAGGTACAAAGGCATGCTGAACCTGCTGGGGAAAATATACTCCATTATAGGATATAATCTCTATATCGATATACTCTTATTGCTCTGTACATTATTGGAGGGACAGGGGATGCAGGAATACATCTCTCAGGAAGGATTTGAGGAGGAACCTGAGAAATGACACCGGCTTCACTAAAACAAAAGGGACTTTTCAGGTCTGAAGCACCCAATTTCTAGCCTTCCTATCTTTCCCTTTGGGGCCAAAAAATTCTCCCAAGCCTGTGCCCTAGAGCTCTCTGTGCTTTGCAGCTGGTGGGGCTGGGAGCGAATGTTCCGGGCAGGGCTGGCCTGCGCGTCCCAGGGACCCTGAAATCAAACCACTGATCAAACCTGACCATGAGGCACAAAAGCGAAGCCTAACGTTGGGCACGAAAACAACCCTGTGGCTGTTTAAACTGCCTGGTGGTATTTGTATATTCAAAGTCCATCACAGCTTTTAGCCAACTCCTGCCCTGGAAAGCACTGAGTCAGTATCATCAGTGGGGAAACTGAGGCATGGCTGGAGGAATGTGGTCCCGAGCTGGATCACACATGCTTTTGTGTTGGTCCTTAAACCTCGGGGGGTAGACTTTGAAAATAAACAATTTATTTATAGCTCTGTGGTGCCAAGGCTTTCCCCGAAGCTGTCCCGGATGATTTCCTGGGATGATGTGATGGCAGGAGTATTGCCTTGTTGCGTGGGCGAGGTGGGGGGATCTGGGGACATGGGTCACCCAGGGTGTCCCCGTGCTGGGGTGGGTGGGTGGGCTTGCCCCACCGAAAAACACAGCCCCAAGGGCATCTCAGCCCTTTTGCAGCCCCATGAGCTGCGTGGGGAGATCGATGTCCTCCTGGAGCGAGCCAGCCCTGCCTCCCCTGGAGCTGGCTGCTCGCCCCCGGTGCTTAACAAATCACTCCGGCTTAATAAGAAAAATCACAGGCTGGGGGAGGAATGAACCTTGCTGCAGGGTGAGTTTGCGCCAGAACCACCCCAGGCTGGGATACGGGCTCCCTCCTTTCTCCAAACCCTAATCACCCCCTAAAAATGCTCTTTCCCACAGCTGCAAGATTTTATTGGGAACCCTCAGCGGGCCACAGCAACCTGCTCTCAAGTATTGCTGGATTGGGGAGAGCGAATAAATGAATAACCCTTCAGCTATAGCAAATAGCCAACTGCCTTTGTGGAGACACCGCGAGGCTCTTGCGTCTCCCCGTGACGCTTACGTGTGGATTCCCTTTGTGTTCTCAACCGCATTTCCATCCCACACAGAAAGCAATTTTCTGGAAAGTTTCCGTTTTCCATAGGCATTGCCTTGGCTCTCCAGGACTCGGACCCCGCAGTACCAGTTTTTTAACTCTTCTCGCCCCAAATTCCGGGTGTTATTTGAACGCTACGTGGAGGGTTTGTGTGGCAGTTCGAGCGATTCCGAAGGACCCCTTCGCCCCTCGCCCCCCGGGGAACGCGGGACCCCGCTGCTCGGCGCTGCGCACACCCTGCCCCGCCCCTCCCTCGCAGACCACGCCCCTCCCTCGCAGGCCCCGCCCCTCCCTCGCTGACCCCGCCCCCTCAAGGAAAAAGGAGGGGGCGTTCCCGGCCACGCCCTCCTCATCTCGATTGGCGGTGAGCCCCGAGGAGGCGTGTCCAGAGGGGATATAAGGGCGGGGCGGGGGGCGGAGCCAGCAGCGCCGCGGCTCAGGCCGTGCGGTGCGGAGCGGAGCGGACGCTGCGTTCCCCGGGCGGCGCCGCCGCCGCCGAGCGGCCCTAGTGCCCGCCCGCCCGCCGGACCCCGCCGCTGCCCAGTCCAGGTAGTGCAGCCCCGGCGGGGAGAAACGGGGCGGCCCGTAGCAATTTGGGGTGGGATGGCGCGGGTTTGTTTTTTTTTGCTTTGAGAAGGGTGCACTGCAAGGCTGTGCCGAGTGACTTTGGGGTGAAACTTGGGGGAGACGGCTCCGTGCCTCAGTTTCCCCACTAAGGATTACTGTATTAACGGGGACGTGCATGCGTGGAGGACGTTCAGTAGCAGGATACCCAACAAGAGGGTGCAGCATTAGACCAGGAAAAAGCCTCCTCAGGAGCTGGGGAGGAGCTGGATGGCCGAGGGCAGGGGTGAGGACCCTGGGGTGCTGGCTGCCTCCCCCGCACCCGGCTCGCAGCCCAGGTCGGTGCTTTTGCTGTGCCTCCGGATGGCGATGGGGCTCGGTGTCCTCTTGCAGGCCCAGGGGACCGTGGCTTGTGGTGGCAAGAGGCACCTTTGGCTGTTTGAGCCTTTTTGGAGTTTGCTTGAAGAAGAAGGGATCAGGCCACGGGATGTGGGAAGAGTCAGCATCTTAGCAGGGGTGTGTGTTGTACCAGGAGGAGAAAAATAATTCCCCAAAATAATTGTGGGCCAGGGAGAGCAAATTTTCTTGCCCGTGCTGGAAGCAGACGTTGCAGGAGGAGGGATGTGTTGTGCATGATGGTGGCCCGCAGGTTTGCCCCCCCGGCTCGGGGGTGGCGGAGGCACTGCTGGGGACAGGCTGGGGCTGGAACCCCTTGCATGAAAATCCTCGGTATGTGCCCCAAGCTAAACACTCCTTTGCTACTTACGCAATCTCTGCCTGAGATTTCATAACTCCCAACTGTTGATACAATGAGGGGAATTGGATTTTTGCAAGGAAGCCAAGCACCCGCGTGGGGTTCGGGGAAGGTGCTGCGCAGACTCGCCAGGCCTGTGCTGTGTGCAGACAGTCGTTTTTGAGGGAATTATTTTGGCTTTGCACGTAGAGCTCTTGGCTCTACAGCTGCGGATTTAAACCACGTGTAGCACCACGAGCGCTAACCTCTGTACCCAGCGCAGTGCCACTGTGAGGTTATGCGTGTCAAATCTCTTGAGAAATCACACTGGTACCATTGAAACTCTTGCAGTTTTCTTGTGTATGGGCAAGGGTCAGGCCTGGGGCGGGTGGGGGCTGCGGGGGCCACGCTTCGTCCTCTCTGCGATGACAGCTGCCCCTTTGCTCACAGGTTTTAGAGCTGCACAAGAACCAAGATCGAGAACCATGGCATCCATCCCATCGAGCGGCTCGCTCATGGCGACGCACAACTACTACAGAAGTAAGGGCACGCGCTCGGGGCTGGGGTGGGCTCGGGGTGGTGGGCGAGCGGGTGGGATGCTCTGCCAGGCTGGAGGGGATATGGCTTCAGCAGAGATGAAGCTGAGCTCAGGTGTGAGCTTTCAGCTGAAGCCCCGTGAGAGCTGGCAGGGTCCTTGCTGGGGAAGGGGAGCAGCCAGCCGCCATCCCTCCTGCTGCTCAGACCCTCCTTTGGGCCACCCCTGCCCAGTTGTACCAGCTGGAGATAGGTCTTGCAAACTCCTTCACTTCTTATTAAGGTTGTAGATGAAGGGAGGTGATGGCCTCAAATGCATCTCGTGCTGTTGCTGTGGAAATGAGCTGCAAAACCAGCCTGGGCAATGGTAGCTACTGGTACCTCTCCAGGGGAGAGATTTTCTGGTTTAATGGATTGCCTAAACCAGAGGGAATTAAAGTGTTCCCCTTGAGCTGAAACTAGTAACAGGCTTCTAGCAGTTGGACTAAAACTGCGTGGATTATATGCAGGAATCTGCATCCTCTTGGCCTCGAGTTGTCTGCACAGGCCTCCCAAGTGTTGCATACAGATGCAAAGCCATTAAATAATGTCCTTGGGGTTGCAAGTGTTTTCCTTCAGAGGTGTTCAGGTGCTTTTCTGCTACCTGCTGTCGGCCAGTTTGTAATCTCAGCAGTATTCCCTTCCTAGTGTTTTTTATTGACTTGGCACTAAAGCTGGGCAAGTACTGGAGTGAGACAGTGATGAGACCGAGCCGTGTCGCTCCAGGGACGGCCACACCGAGCCCATGCTTTGCTTTTCGTGGCGCGACCGAGGGTCAGTGGTGGCTCTGATGGCCGTGATTTCTCCACAGGGCGCCTGAGCTCCACATCCAGCAACAGCTCCTGCGGCAGCTCGGAGTACTCCGGGGAGGTCATCCCCCACCCCCCGGGTAAGTGCTTGCCTGGCTCGGGGCCGCGGGAGGACTCTGCTCCTGGCCCCATCGCTCCAAATCTTACTGGAGGTGACCCAGCCTCTCCTATGGGATGAGACCAGGGTGGTAGCGGGATTGCCTGGGTTGCACTGACCCAGACTTTCCCCGGCACACGCTGTCCCCCAGGTCTGCCCAAGTCTGACCCCGGCCACTGGTGGGCCAGCTTCTTCTTCGGGAAGACGACTCACCCAGCCATGACAACTGTGTCGGAGTCCCCGGAGAGGTGAGTGCTTTCCTCGGATGAGATGACGCAGGCGAGCACCAGTGCAGCACCCAGGGCGGTTGGGGACATCCCTGCTGCGTCCCCCGAGGTGCATCCCGACCTGATGGGCGACGTCTTCGTGCCCAGGGCGCCCCGCTCCTTTGCTGCAAAAAATCAACGCAGAGCGACGGCGCAACGCCTCGGCGTTGGCCTGACCCCCTCTCTGCTCTGTCTTGCAGCTCGGGAACGCTGCGGGTGACAACGGGACCGATGGCGTGTGGCCTGGTTCCAGCCCCGGGAGCGGGACGGAGGCGTCACGCCAGCGAGCCCAGCTCCGGACCCTCGGCATGAGCGGGTCAGCGGCTGCTCCCCAGGCCGGCGGGCACAGCCCCTTCCCCCTGTAGAGTAGGCAGGCTGCTCCAAAGCAAAGGTGTTGCTTTGTAAGAAGAAAATGCAGCAAAAACCCCCCGTGATTCCCACACCAGCCTTTTTACTCTTTCTCAACGTAACTATGCCCTTTCCGCCCGGATGCAGTAACGTGTTTTATTTACCTTGTACTCGTACGATGGCAAATAATAAACTCGAGCAGCCTTTTAAAACGCTGGGGGTTGTTCTTCATCCGGGCTGGGAGGGCAGAGCGATGCTGCGGATGGTGGCGGGGCTCAACCAGGAGGCGGTGCAGCCTCTGACCGCAGCAGCAGGGTCTGGTGACTCTTGATGGCACGGTCGTGTCAGCGTGACTCCCCGGGACGTGTGTGGTTTGCATGTGAGCAAGATCCGGCTGGGCTGTGGTGATGCTGCAAATGTTTTTCCCCCACCCTTTCCTCCTAACTTGGCTGCACAGCCTGTCCCTGCTGGCACTGAACTTGTTTTTCTCCCCAAGCCCATTGCTGCCCTGCCCTGCTCCAGTGCCTCGTGGGGTAGGAGTGAGCACCTGGCTCTGGTCGGGGCTGGGGGAAGGATTTAAGTGCAGAGTGAGCCTTCCATAACGAAGGGAGAGAGAAGGCTCGCTCAGGGCTTGCATTTTGTGGGTCTGATATCAGGCTGGAGCTCACGGTGGGGATGGCAGCTCAGGGGGGTGCATGGGGCTGGGCAGTCCTGGAGCCCAGCTGGCCCACGTGCCGTACTGCCCTAAGTGGTGTTTTGGCAGATTTTTGCCTTGAATTAGTCAACTTAGCTGTTTGGCCCTTCTGCGATCAGCCTGATTGATAGCTGGGGTGTGCTGCTTGATAAAGCACTGAGAAAACAAGAGCCTGCAGCCGCCTGCATGCAAGGGGGCAAGGTCCCCGTTCCTGCTGGAGGCAAACAAAACCCTGGCAAGGGTGGATTTAAAGGTGCCAAATCTTCCTGCTCTGCTCTGCTTTCAGCCCCAGCACGAGATACGGGACAGTCCTTGTGTGCGTGAGGAGCTGGGGGCCACGGGACCCCCTGAGCGGTGACTTTGTACCGCTGCATCCCGTACGGGCAGGGCTGAAGGGTAAAGCTGTGTTCAGGCAGCTCCCTGAACTGTTCTGCTTTTTGTCCGTGCTACAGAGGCATCCAGGGTCGTTTCCAGCTTTGCTCCTTGTTTCTGGTAGGGAAAAGCATTGCATAAGCTTTGCCCTGAGTTCTACCTCTCCTTGTCCTTGGGGCAGAGGGTCTGTGTCCCCCCTGTAGCACTGGGGCAGCACTGGGACCTCCGCTCCCCCCCTGTGTAGCTATGTGCATCCAAAAGGAATGGCTGTGGGGGGGTTTCCCAGGGCCAGCAGCCTTGGGCTCATGGTTTGGACCCCTGTGGGTGACCTCTCTGTCCACGGTGGTACATCACCCCATGACTGATCTGATCTGACTTCCAGCTGGGCAGCAAACTGCTGGGGGGGGGGCTGCACCTATGTGCATGTGGCTGTTTATGGCAGGAGGCACGTGGCAGCTTTTAAACGTCACAAAACACAGGAAGATTGAGGAAAAAAAAAAAATCCCTTCTGAGTAAGACAAGACGAGGCGTGCGGTCTGGCTGGTTTGCTGGGAAGAGTGGCTATGGCACTGACTCATACCAGCAAGCGCTGCTTCGGGGTCTTCCCATGCCCTGGCAAAGCCCTTTGGCTGCTGCTCACCCCAGGGATGCTTCAGGGGAGTAGCAGGGTCTCATCTGCTGCTGGTTCCCAGCAGAAGCCCCAGATTTTGGAGAAACGTTTTTTTCCAAGCCTGCAGCCTCAGAGGCTGCAGATTAAAGTGTGGACGCACAAAGGTAAAGTCAATATTGCCGTATTTGCTTGTTGGTCTCGTGATCGGGGAGGGTCAAACCCAGCAACTGTCCCCAGGCACCCGAGGGAGGCTGTGGCAGAGCAAAGGTACCAATCCCGCATCCCTGGTTTTCAGCTGGGCGCTTTCCCTGGCCTGACCCAGCTCTGGGTGAGCTGCTTTGGCCGCCTGCTGTGATGCTACCAGCACATGGATGCTCCTCCATCCCATTTTTGGATGCTTCATGGAGGTTAAGCTCGTTCCCACGTTGCTGCAAGGCAAGTCGGATTTGCAGCAGTGACCGGAGCATCGGTGAGTGGCTGCCCTGATGCCAACGGCTCCCTGTCCAGTGCAGCAAAACTGCCTGAAAAAGCCCTGCTGAATTAAAGGGGATTTTTCTGAATGTCTGTAAAGTCTCACAGACTTGGGCTTCTGCTCTGCTGGGGGTGAAAAAGCAGGGAGAGCCTGATCCCTCCCCCCAGACTGCATTCCCAGGCAGCTTCATGGTATTGCTGAGAGCAAAGACCTTGGCATCGCTTTGGTTGTTTGGGGTGCCTGGTGCTTTTGGGGCTTTTCTTGCCCCTTGGCAGCACTCAGATGTGTTTAGGAAAAGCATCTGACAGACAAGCACGTTTATTTTTGTGGTGTTTCCATCCCCACTGCTGTGGGTGTCTGTCTCTTTTCCCAAGTAATTAGTAGTAGGATGAGAGGAAATGGCCTCAAGTTGCACCAGGGAAGGTTTAGACTGGATATTAGGAAAAATTTCTTCACTGAAAGGGTTGTCAGGCATTGGAACAGGCTGCCCAGGGAAGCGATTGAGTCACCATCCCTGGAGGTATTTAAAAGATGTGTAGATGTGGCACTTAGGGACATGGTTCAGTGGTGGACTTGGCAGTGTTAGGTTCACAGTTGGACTCAATGATCTTAAAGGTCTTTTCCAACCTAAACGATTTAATGATTCCAGCTGATTTCCTGTGTCTCGGGTCATTGTGCTGCCTGCTGTGGTGGGATTGCAAGGAATTCACTGGGCAACTGAAGGGAGACAAGCAAAGGGGCTCTTTATATACCATACCCCTCCCTAAGCATCCCCCCCCTTGCTGTCGGAGGGATGAGCACCCACCTCCCACGGCACCAACCCCCACGGGGACGGACATCCCCTCCTCTGCTCCCTCGTGACGCTTGACGAGACGCCGTGTTTTGACTGTTGCTTAACTCACATTTTTGGGGAAAAAAAAAAATAGCTGATGCTTTCCACTCGCTCTCGGCCCTTGCAGCGGCCCTCGTGTCACCCCGCCGCCTCCGAGGAGCTCTCACAGCAGCCCCGGCGTGAGAAATACTTCCTTTCATTGCCTGCCTCTTGCTGCGTGGGGAATTTTTTTTTTTAATTTTTTTTTTCCTCCAGCAGCTTTGCTTCCCCCTCACCCTTCAAAGGCCAATGTTGGACCTTAAAAACAGAAAGAAACTGCACAGCTCAAATACATCGCGTTAGCCTGATGCTGTTTTCAAATGCCACTTGGTCAAGTTGAATCTGCAAAAGGGGCACGTGCCAGGCTGGAGCCAGAGCAGGCGAATGCCTTTAATGACAGTATTTGCAATGCCCGCTCCGGAGGGGTTTGGAAAGGATTGGGACCCCAGCAGCTCTGTCTTCGTGGAATGGATTTTGGTAAGACCCCAGCCCCTATAGTGGCCCCGATTTTGTGGGGGAGCTGCAGTGCCCTGCCCAGGCTGAGATCCTGGGAGAAGATGAGAAAATCTGGGCTCCCCCCCTCCAACTCTGTCTACTTTTAGGCAGCAAGTGATGACTCGGAGAAATGCCAAAACCCAGCAGATCGTGCTGGAGGGCGAACCCAAGCAGCGTGATCAGCTTTTCATGCAGCTGCAGAGAAGGAAGGAAAAACTGCTGTGGGCAGCACCATGTCCCCATGCCCCCCCCTCCACTCCACCCATCGTGGCATTGCTATAGCAGAGTGAGCTGCTTTGGGACCACATGTCTGATGGGACCAGTGCGGGCAGCGAGGGCTGCCCACCCATGCACCGCTGCTCCCCACGCCAGCCCCCCACCGCCCCAGCACCCCACGCACGCCCTTCTCCTCCTGCTTATTTTTTAGCTCCATCTGGTGGCAGCCGGACCCGCAAATTTAATATCTTTATTGCTGCAACAACTGTGCCCTGCCTGCACCGCGCGTGTTCCTTTCTTGGTGTGCAGTAAACCCATCACCCGCCGGACAGAGCCGCGGTCTTTAGTTTCTTGTGGAAGGGAATCTGGGCTGTGCACACGTGTGCTGTTTGATCAGGCTGCAAAATGTTTTGCAAGATGAGGGTTTCCGCTTGCAGCCGTGTCCAAACCCAACCTGTTGCTTTTTTCCAGCTGTGAACGCTCATAACGCGGAGCTGCTGCCTTCCCGGGGCACAGCCGCAGCTCCTGAGGGCTCAGCAACCGCCTCATCCTTGCTCGGGCATCAGAGGAAGCCCGGTCGGATCAGGAATTAATCAATCACACCCCTAAACCACATTCCCACCTCCCCTTTCCAGGCCCCTCGTGCACGGAGACTTGCTCAATTAACAGCCAGACTTGTTTCTGCTCTTTTGCACAGTGTGGATGTTGCTTAGGCACGGAGAGTATTGCATAAACTTTATTAACTTTATGTATTCCAACCCTGCTGTTGTTTCGGTCCTACCGGTCACCCCCTCTGATGCAAACAGGCAAAATGCACTTGGCAGGAGAAAATTTATAGCCAGGCTGCCTTTCACCCACAGCATGTTGTTCTCCCTGCCATCGGTGCCCCAAGCGCATCGGTGCCAGCCCCGGGGAGGCTGCCTGCACCAGCCCGGGACCTTGGCACTGCTCCTGGTGTTGCTTTTTCGGTGAGTCCTTCCACCGCTGCCAAGGACAGCCCGGCCTCTGAGAGTGTGCATGGGTTGGGGAGGGGAAAAAGGTACTTGGCTGGAGCAAATGCTTCCCTCCAGCTTTTTGCGGGGGGACAAGAGGCTCAAGGTCCTCCTGTATTGCTGTACCCTGGGACTGGCGAGGAGCTGGGGGTGGTGGGAGCATCTCTTGGCTTTGCACTGTGGGCGTGATAAAGAGCAAAACAGTGTTTTATCGAGTGCTGCCTCTGCCGCCTGCACCCGGCATTAAATAGTTGAACCCAGATACGCATTTTTCTTGGAATAACCACACGACAGTGAGCAAGGTAAGGAGCCAGAGCGGAGCAGCCCAGGCAGGAGCTGCCTGTGCAGGGTCCTTGGGGCAAGCTGGGCTGTTGCCTGGGCTAGGGCTGGCAGATGCACACGAAGGTTTAATGCACACCTGGATGAGCAGAGACCAAAGACACATGAAGATGGTTGTATTTGTGGCTGCAA